TGAGGAATAGTAGTTAGTCCTAGCCACTCTCATCGCCACTAGGTAGGATCTAACATGTATCCTTACCTGTGTTCGCGCGGATTCGGTTCGGCTGGCCCTCCAACAGCTCTCTAGGCGTCTTTTCCGGCGTTTCATCTCTCTCAGCTCCCCGGAGAACCAGGGAGCCAGTCGAGACCTACGCCGGGTCAGAGGCCGCAGAAGCACGACTCGGTCCAATGCAGCGGCGGCAGTTGACTCCCAAGCCGCCGTCTGATTTTCCACCGAGTCATGGACCAGATCCTCCGGATAAGGCCCAAGCTCCGTCAGGAACCTCTCTGGGTCCATCAGTCGCCTGGGACGGAACCATCTAGATCAGGTTGTTTTTATAAAGCATGTCTTATAGATGCCAATATCTGTAATCCATGCTTATGAACTGGAAGCCAAGAAGTTAATATTCCTGACTATGAACATATAGAATAGCATTGAGCATAGGGGAACCTGTGGCCATTCAGATGATGCTGAACTTGTAGTAGAAGAGCAGGAGGAGCTGGGGGAGGGCAGAGTTAAGTGCATCATCGGTTTAGAGTCCTTGCATTCCCACAAGCGCTCCAAGTCCAATTCCTCCTGAATTCTATTGACCCTTATCTGGTGTAATTTACTGCTGAACTTTAGTTGACCAGATTCTTATGTATAGGCTGAATAAATCCTCTATATCAATCCTTATGAAGGTCCTGATTCTTTGCGCCTGACTGAACTATAGTTTCCAATGTCATAACAACTGGAGGACCACAGGTTCTCTACCTGACATATATAAGTGTAAGAAGTGCCTTAAACAGGCCAGCTGGTCCAGTATTGCCTCATTTGAATGTCAGTGGCTTTCCAAAGCATTAGGCAGAGAGGAGCTTCTACTGACTGGGTCTCTTGGTGGTTTCTTGAGAGCTTTCAGGGATTGAACCCCAGACCTTTTCCATGCAAAACTCTTGCTCTGCCATTGAGTTATGGATCTCATAAAGAGTCTGATATGAATCAATCAATCAATCAATCAATCAATCACTCTTTGCCCAAAAGAGCTCACCTTGACTTTCTGTTGATGGTGGTAGATCTGCCAAGCAATATGAACATGCATAGCACACCACTTGCCTGGTTTCTACAAAAAAAAGGGGACAAGTATTTAAAAGTATTGAAAATAATACCTCTTAGCTATAGGAATAATGAGATTTTAAGTGTTAACCTGTTGTTGCTTGAGAATTGCCATCAACGGGATTTTTTTAAACACAAAAAACAATGCAGTGTTCTATAAGAAGTCTCCTATCCAGACACTAATGAGAACAATTGCTTTTTAGATTCACAAAAGTTGTAGCATTATGTACATTTAAACAAAAGATTCAAAACTGAGGGCCCTAGAACTGCATGGTTCACCAGAAAACTTCATTCCCCTCCATCAAAGGCTCAGATCCTTCCGAAAATTGTGACCAAATTTAATTTTTCAATATGATGGAAAAGAAAAATTCTTAGTCCCATGTGGGAGATTCATTTTATTAACTATCACTGCATTTAAAAATAAACTGAAATCGTGTCTGGGTTTTGTCTATCTCAGCGGTTCTCAACCTATGGGTCGGGACCCCATTTGGGGTTGATCGACCATTTCACGGGGGTCGCCAAGCAAGACTGTCCGCCATTTTTTTTCCCCTTTTCTGGTGGGTGCCTTACCTCCCTTGAGCTGGGCCAGCTGGTGGTCGGCCTGCTCCGTCTCTGCCGCTTGCCAGCTACGCCTCGGCTGGCGCAGGAGGCAGAACCACGCATGCGCGGCGCTCCCGGGCAGGGAAAGTCCTCGACTTACGACCGGTTGGGTAGTCCTCGACTTACGACCGGTTTAGTCCTCGACTTACGACCGGTTTAGTCCTCGACTTACGACCGGCTGGGGGTCACGGCATTAAAAAGGTTGAGAACCACTGGTCTATCTGTTTTATTATTTTTTTTAGAATATGAGCCTCCACCATGAGCCAATTTTTAGCTGAGAAAAGTTGTGCACCCTGCTTTAAACCACCTTTTATGTAAGTTACATAGCACTTTCCACTAGTGAAGAAAGATTCACACATTGCCACAGAAATAACAGGATCAGCTTGTAAAATGGAGAGTGAGGACAACCTGTATGGTGCCAACTGTTTGATAAGGCATCAAAGATGTAAGCATGGACATCAGTCATAGCCCATAGTCAAACAACACAGGCCTTCATCTTCTTTCTTTCCACCTTCATTTTTATTCCAATTGTTGCAGATTTACCAAACCATTTAGAAAGACTCTATGACCAAACATAGAGTGCCTTTACACTGGCTGTTAAGTTAGCTATATTAAGACATCGGGTAGGAGTTGAACTTTAATGACAAAGTCAGTGTGGTAAAGGAAAAAAAAAGCAGGAACACGAGAGAGAGAAAATAATCATGTCCATTTACTATGGCTTGCAAAGTAAACCTCTGATGATGCTGGGTAGCCTATAAGCCACAACTTATTTCAATAAAGTGATCTGAGCCATGAAGACATTATCACTCACTTCGCTGAAACAAAAATATCACCAATGCCTACATGAAACAACTTGGGTGGTTTGAAAGTGCTTGGTTCCAGGTTGAGCAAACTTGAGGACCACCCACAACTTGTCCCCAAGCTATTCAACCTCGAATCCCCTCAGCAAAGTACCAAAAGTTGTCCAGGTGCTGACACATGCATTGTTCATCCCTACAATGATGGTCAAAACATCTGGAGAATGTCAGAAGTACCACTCGTTGTGGTGAACAGTTGGAAGGAGGTGAACAATGTCTTCTCTGACGTGCTTG